CTGAAGACGTACACAGATGAGGCGCTTACCCAATGTACCCAGTAAGCGTTTAGGGTTTAGGGTACTTGGTGTTGGTACTGTAAATTGCAGTACAGGTCTTCTAGAAGTACATGATTATTGGGTACTTGGACCTTTAGGGTGATTGTACTTCTTTAGAGGTACTTGGGGCTTTGCATTTGGTGTAAGCCGTAAGCCCTAAACCCGCATACCATGCCCCTCATGGTCCATAACTATCCCTCTTTTACCCCATATAATCCTTATATGATCTCTTCTAATCATACATAGTATATTCCCTGTAGGGGTTACCATCAACGCTTAAACACTGAACCTTACGCCCCCTAAACCCTCTTCTGAGACAGAACAAAATCTTTTTCTCACCTACTTGAAACGCTATATTATCCCCAGTTGCCAGTTTCCGTTTAATGTACCATCTTCTTTTCCAGTTGAGCTCATTCGACCCACTATCATTGGGGTAGCCGCCCTAAACCCTCCATTGAACCCTAAACCTCAGACCTCATAGACCCCTATATGCATATATATATATATGTATATATGCATATATCCTGCGCAGCTCCTAAAAACTCCTAAGAGGAACCCGAAGTACTTTTACGAAAGCCTTTTTTTCAGAGATTGAAGCCTTAAACCCTAAACCCTAAACCCATATCCCTAGACACCAAACCCTAAACCCTAAACCCATATCCTTAGACCATAAATCCTAAACCCTAAGCCCTAAGCGCATATCCTTAGACCCTATTCCCTAAACCCTAAACCCATATCCCTAGAACCCTTTCGAAGATTGGGTTGCTGTTAAGGAACTTAAATTAAGTTACTCTATTGGGGAGCCCCTAGTATTTACTATATATACCCATTATGGTAACCCTAAATCCTAAACCCTGAACCCTAGACCCTAAACCCTAAACCATTGAAGGACTTGGATCGTTTGGTCATTTCGCAGCGCTTCCACAACGAATCCATGAAGCGATTGACAGATAAGGCGTTTAGGGTTTAGGCTTTAGGGTTTGAGGGTTTGAGGGTTTAGGGTTTAGGGTTTAGGTTTAAGAATTTAAGGGTTTAGGGTTTAGGGAATGGTTTCAGGGTTTAAGCAACTAACTGGGCTTTTAGGGTTTAAGGTTTACCAGAAGCCCAAAAGAAGGTAAAATAATAGCCCAAAACCACAAAATCTAGCCCAGAAGGCCATTATTCTACATACCTCTGGGGTTCAGGTAAGGGTTTAGGGTTAAGGGAGTTGAGGTTCAGGGTTTCGGGAATTGGGGCTTAGGGTTTAGGAGCCGTGCAGGAGTTATAGGGGTTCGATAGAGATGTAGAGGATTTTGGGGGTGTAAGGGTTTTAGGGTCAGTGTTGTTCGGGTTTGGGGGGCGGTGAGGGTTCCATTTGTTTATTAGGTCCATCCCCCCTACAGTAACAGCTCGATGGAATTCATAGGGCCTTAATGTTCGTCCCTTGTGGTAATCATTACTGTTTGGGAGATTGACCCAAGTTGCTTAAGGGCTCACAGATTCAAGGGATTTCCGGGTGTGGGAGTTCGGGATCCAGGATTTAGGAGTTTCTCGTGTCAGGGTCAGAGGTCAGGGGCCCGCGGTTTAGCGCTTGGGATTTTAGATTTAGGATTTTGGGTTCAGGATTTAGGGTTTAGGGTTTAGGGCTGGTCTAGGGGCTTTTTTGCGTGATAGGAGGTATGAAAAGCATGGACAGCGTTCTTCAGTCGGAGTGTTTGCTGACTGAGCAGGATGTTCATGATGAAAAGGGGCAACCCTAAACCCTAGACGCTACACCGCGCTGCATGAGCCTTGGTTGCATCCAACATCCAAAGCCCAGAGCCCTACGCACCCTACACCTGAACAAAGCCTAAACCGTAAACCCTAAATCCAGCACCCTAAACCGCGAACCCGAAGCCCTACATTATTCACCCTGCACACTAAGCCCTAAGCCTTAAAATCATGAACCCCCAACCTAAATCCCGACCTAAAGCCTGGGCTTCAGGGGCTTGGGTTAATACTCGATCCGACCGGCTTAGGGTGTAGGGTTTAGGGTTCAGGGTTTAGGGATTATCTCACATGTCGAGTGAGCAACCTTTAACCTTTTTCTGGGTGG